CCCTGCCCGTGGCCTCGCCCGGCGCCAGGTATCCGGCTTTGCGATGGCACCGCGCCGGCAGCGCCCGAGCCTTCGGCCCGCGCTGGTGAGTGCGGGCATGGGGTAGGGGGCTGGGGGCAACTGGTAGTGCGCTGGTCCCCGCAGAGGTGGGAGGAACAAGACATCCCCCTCCATCCTGCCCTGCAGCCCCCTGGACCCGGGCCCTGGGGTCCCCGCACTCCCACCCCTATGCCACGAGCAGAGGGTGCCAGCCTCGCCACACCGCTGCCGTCAGCTCGGAGCCAACAAGCTCCCGCGGGGTCCAGGTGAGACCCCACAAACTCGTGGCAGTGGTGACCCGCATCAAGTGCTTGGCTCCTGCTGGAGTGAACCCAAGTCCAAGGCCAGGGTTTGGCTGGGGTCGTGCTCCCGCTCCTGTCAGCCAGGCCAGAGGGTCCCTTGCCAGCCCCCCGTGCTCCCTCTCACTCCGGCCTCCTCTTTGCAGACCCTGCCCGCGCCCCCACCCAGCCCTGCACCGCCCCCAAGGATGTCCCGGTGGTGGCCCCTCCTCGGCGAGTCCGGACCAAGAGGCCCTCGGCTGGGCAGGCTCTCGGCAGCAACAGCGACCTGGTGGGTGCTCCTGGCAGTGTGAGCAGCGGTGGGTGCCCGAGTCCCGGGGTCTGCTAAACGAGCCAGCTGCGGCCCCGGGCAAAGGCAGGAGAGGCTGGAGGCTCCGAATTGGGGGTTACGGGTTCGATCCCAACTGGGGGGCCCCGGCAGCGTGCTGGAGTTGGGGAGCAGGGCCCAGCGGGTGGGGTCACACCAGGGATCCTCGGATCATCTCGGTGGGCTGATGGGCACTCAGGGCCTCTCTCCTGGCAGGCTCCGGAGGGGGAAACTGAGGCACGCAGACGGTGATGCTAGTCCCCCCCAAGACGAGCCCAACAGAACTGGGGATCTGGGTCTGCTCCGGGTGCTCTCCTTGCCCAGGGTGGGGCCAGCCCCCATGCCCACCCTCCATGCACGTGTCTTGCAGTCCCGCTCCCTGAGCCCGTCCCCACTGTGGAGCTGTGGCCCGTCTCACTCCGCACCGGCCAGCCTGGGCGAGAGGGGCTTCTTCACAGCCGCGCAGCCTGCCCTCGGTACGTACGGGGCTGGGGGGATGCGGGCGACGGGGGGCCGCGGTGGCCTGAGTAGGGTCAGGGGGCGCGTGGCTGAGGTCTGATCAGCACCCCCACTCCACCCCAGGGCTTTCCCGCGGCCCCAGCCCTGTGGTGCTGGGCTCCCAGGACGCGCTGCCCGTGGCCACTGCCTTCACTGAGTACATCCATGCCTACTTCAAGGGTCGGGACCCCGACAGGTAAGGGGCAGGTGGGTGCCGTTGGGCAGCCCCCGAGCCTTGGGCAGCGCCAAGGGGCTGCAGGCGCGGCGTGGCCCCGGCAGACACGGACTCCTCTCGCCCGCAGCTGCCTGGTGAAGGTCACGGGTGAGCTCACCATGTCCTTCCCTGCCGGGATCATCCGTGTCTTCAGCGGGAGCCTGGCACCGCCCGTGCTCAGTTTCCGCCTGCTGCGCACGGCCTCTATCGAGCAGTTCCTGCCCAACGCCGAGATGCTCTACAGGTATCTGGGGGCCGGGAGGGTGTGGGGGGGAGCAAGGAGGGCTCCATCGGGGCCCCTGGGCCTGTCTGACCCTCCCCGGCCGGCCACAGCGACCCATCCCAGAGCGACCCCAGCACCAAGGACTTCTGGCTGAACATGGCAGCGCTGACCGGGCACCTGCAGCGCCAGGCAGAGCAGGCCCCCACTGCCTCCTACTACAACGTGGCCCTGCTCAAGTACCAGGTGAGCGGCCACGGCCTGGTCCCGGGGTAGGGCAGCCTGCCAGGATGCCCGGGTTCAGCTCTGGGAGGGGAGTTGGGGTCTACTGGGCTGGAGCAGCTGGGAGCCCAGGCGCCTGGGTTCCAGCTCGGGGAGGGGGTTCGGCCAGTGTGTCCCCCCACCCCGGTTGCATGCCTGCATTGCAGCCTCTTGCCCCCCACACCTTGAGCGGCCACGGCCTGGTCCCGGGGTAGGGCAGCCTGCCAGGATGCCCGGGTTCAGCTCTGGGAGGGGAGTTGGGGTCTACTGGGCTGGAGCAGCTGGGAGCCCAGGCGCCTGGGTTCCAGCTCGGGGAGGGGGTTCGGCCAGTGTGTCCCCCCACCCCGGTTGCATGCCTGCATTGCAGCCTCTTGCCCCCCACACCTTCCCAGTTCTCCAGGCTGGGCCCCAGCGCGGCCCCCCTGCAGCTCTCGGTGCGCTGGGACTGCGC